CATTTGGTCTGAGTGAGAATCGTTTGAAAGGCCCGCTTCCATGTCGGGAGCGTACTTGGTGAGAAGAATATCAGATGCATTCGGGAAAGTGACGTGATTGAGCTTCTTGGGGGGTCTGAACGGAATTGGGGTAGAGCGTAACGAGGATCTCTCGTTGAACAACTTCTTGTCGTCAGTGAGGGGCACCGAGGGGAGAGGTGTAATTTTTGGACCACGATGTCTGAAGCAAATGTCAGCAAATGGGATTCTGAGCACAACGAGAACCTGCCTGGCACTTGGCAGATTTGATCCATGAAAGCTAACATCCTTGATCGACTGTCTCAGGACATGTTTTCGGAAAGCTTTGATGATCTTGCCGTACTCCCTCCTCGCCTCGTCGCTAAAGCCAAAGAACAAAAAGAATATGTATGCACTGGCGGGCATCGCCCACCACAACAAGAACATGCTTTTAATGAACGAAGGCGGGAGTTCGATGAACGCAAAGAGGTCAATGCGGAGCCAATCGGAGTGAACGTTCTGCCAGCTGATCCAAGGTCGCAAGCCCGAATCAGCGTTGTTGTAGAGGTTGAAGGCTGTCAACGCAGTCCCCCACACAATTTCCGTGACGGCCATTGCCATAAGGCGAAGATAACGATGCGTTGTAAGGGCTGAGTTGGCATTCTGTAAATGAGCGGAAAAATTCATGCGTCGGCAAACAAAATGATACAGCGCGAGAGCTGGACGGTGGATGACTATCAACGACGATGTATACACCAATGCGTTGCCAAAACCACCGACCTGCGTATATAAGCGTGGCCGTTGCAAAAACCAGGGGCGGCAACCAAACGATTATGATGCCTGCGATGGAAAAGTATGTTGTAGGTTGGCAGCCAAAGTTCTCAACGATGTCATATCGGTGACCTTGCACAATATAGTCTGTGGTTGTGAGTCTAATCGTGCAAAAAATACTGCCAAGAAGCTTACGCAAAGCCATAAAGATTAAAGGGACCCCAAAACATATTGCTGCGTCGAAGATAATGCGGCGCCGTTTATCAACGTGATCGAAGCGTACTTGACGATTTGACGACACGAGTTCAAGGTGTTTGCACACAGACATAGTCGCCAATGGCAGTGCGGTATTTGCACCGATAATGAGCTTGGTAGCTAAATAGATGTGTCAATTTGTTGGCTCATCGTGAGCAGTGAGTTTTGCAGCTCACTGATATCGCACCAAACTGGAGCGGGGTTGTCGACGTTTGCGTTCCATACAATAGCATTGATGCCATAAATGATATTCACAACAAACAACCATGATATGATGGAAAGAGTCCCGATGTTACGAGCCCGCCAATGCCAAGGCAAAGGAACAAGGACCAGAGCAGCGGCAAGGAAGGCACCTGCGGGAAGTGACGGATATTGCATTCAAATCAGAATCTTTGAAGACGATGATAGGCAGGGGGGTGCAAGATTCCATTGCGAAAGGCCCTTTGGTTATAATCTTTAAAGACAAAGGAAAACTAGTGGACAATGCATAAAGTAACAATACTGCCACGTTGTTTGCTTACGTCATAATAGACAATGACTTATCAGCTCCGCGGCAATCTTTACTGTGGACAACGGGCCGGGGTTAGTCCCAGGCGAGTTCCTATAGCAGGCCATCCTAGGTAACGAATGCCCTTCCCTCTTCCTCCTTCCAGCACCCGATGTTTGTTCAAGGCTTCAATGCCATCCCAACGGAGCTGCTATATGCGCTATGAATGAGTATCTCGAATGAAAACCGAGAAGTATGGTGCTTACCCACAGGAAAACAACTGCCCAACCACAGGTGTCAAAGTGCCCAGGCTCGCTCCCTTTTGCCGTTCATCAATGACGCACGTATCTCGACTGGTCCTCCAGAACCTATCCGAGAAGTTGGCTTGAAGATTTGAGGCAGGGAACTTATCGTTGCAGAGAATGACATGACCGTTTGACAGTTAGAGATGGCTGGGAGAGGCAGCAAGGGGAAACGTTATGCGTGATGAGGTTCTGGTCAAACTATAGAAGATGTTGACGTGAATATTGTAACCTTACATTAATCTTACCTATCATTCAAAAGCAAAGCGGCATCGTTCCCCCTAATATCCAGACGCAAAGCAGACCACACCTAATATTCAGACGTGATTTGTATGTCGGGTTACCGGTTAGGTGTGACCCCACTGCAGTGACATTGCCTAATCAACCCAACCCACTTTGGGATTTGATCTCAAACAGTCACCATTCTCCACTTTCAAGGCCTCATGCACCACCCTTCCCATCGATAACACATTCACCGCTCGCAGAATACAACGGCCGTTTTAGCCATGCAGCAGGAGATGGACACGCAACCAGACTCTGGTCGTGCTTTCCCTCCGGGCGCGGTTTCTTCCAATATGACCAACTTTGGCGCACAGCATCGTTCCCATTCGACAGCGCAACATCGTCAACATCCATATATCATACGAGGAAGGAAACCATTGAACCAGAAGCTTCGCAGAGTCCCTAAAAATTCAAGTTTGGGAACAGACACTAGAGTTGACCGTCATTTGACAGCAGATCAGCGAAGATTTACTGGTACTGCCGAACCATTCCCACTTACCACTTCCAATGTCGCTCCCTCCACTCAGCTGATCACTTCAATCCTCATCCCAGACTTAACTAGTCTTATCACCCGATGCAGCCCGGACCCTATTTCCGGCGGCACATATGGAAATATCTACAAGTGCATATACCACGGGCCAGAGGGCGATGCAGAGGTTCGTGCGGATGTCACAGTTCTTCTACGCTCACCGGCTCATCACTCGCCCGCAGGTCGCCGTCAAAGCGATTCGACCACAATTTTTTAGTGCTCAGGTGATGTTCTATCTGAGGGAACGGTCGGATTCTCATCAAGCTTTTTTAGATGTTTCGGAGAGAGCTTGGAATTTGGAAGAGGCTGCGACATTCTAATATTCTGAAATTCATGGGTACTACTTCGGACTTTGGTTCCTCAGTAGCTTTGGTTGCTCCGTGGATGACAAACGGCACTCTGACGTCGTTTCTCGACCTGAATAAGGCCCTCGAGCTGCATGATCGTCTGCTTTTGGTGAGCAATTCAAATACGTTCCCAGTTTGCACAACCGACTTCATTGTTTCGTGCACAAGCTTCGTGATATTGCTGCTGGCCTCAACTATCGTGTGTGAAAACGTGCATGTCCAAAGGAAAATGAATAATTTTTTGTGTCAGTTCATACATTCAGCTTGACAGAAGACGGACATACGGACTTGAACCCTGTCGTTCATGGAGACCTCACTGGTGTAAGTTCCATTGTATATTCTGTCCCTTGCATACTAATGACCAGTTGCAAGACCAACGTCCTCATCGATGGTGATAGAAAGGCATATCTTGCAGATTTTGGCCTTTCCGGAACTTTTAAACAGTCGACCGGCATGACATACCTCGCGAACATGACTTGTCGTCCAGGAGCAGTGAGATGGGCAGCTCCTGAACTTCTTTCCGGGGAAGAACCAGCTTCTGTAGCCACCACTCAAAGCGACATGTATTCCTTTGGTAACATTATGCTTCAAGTAAGTCATTCCCTCTTGCTAGTGCGGCTCACTGAGATGTCCTGCAGGTTTTGACGGGAGATGTGCCCTGGTGTCACTTGACCCGTGACTTCCAGATCACGTATCAAGTGGTTATTGAGGGGAGAATCCATCCCCGTCCACATGATGATTACGTCACAGACCGGCAATGGAATTTTATGACCCGCTGCTGGTCTATGCCATTTACTGATCGGCCTCCTGCCAAGGAAGCAGTTCAATTTGTTGATAGCGCTTTGCACCTGAGCACGAGCCCCCCAGAGCCCGACGTTATGGATCTCCAGCGACGAGCGACACCCGGGTATAGCCTGTAATGATCATCTTCGAGGGGATACTGGTGCTCGTAAGACTCCTATCGTAAAATACTCTTGCTTGCTTTCTTATATTGTCGTAGGACTTTCGGTGATGCAGGATATTGATTTACCCCCGCAAGGACGCTCTCCTCGGGACATTCTGTTTTCGGACCTCATGGAGTCAGGGAATTCACTTGTCTCCATGGCCGCTACGACGTCTAGTCATTATGCCTCCCCTGATTTTCAACCTTATGTGCCCCAAATGAACATGAACGTCGAGCAACGATTAGGGGCAATGTCTTACTCCACGAATAAAACGAATACGACTGTCCCTTTTCTGCACCGGGCTCTACCTCAAAAGCTGTCTACTGAAGAACCTGACGATCACGATATGGCAGAATTTCGAGAACCCAGAAAGGTCGAGGCTATGAAATTAATCAGGTTGGTTTTCCATTCATTCCTGTCGTGTCTCATATCTAAGTGCCCTCTTTAGATATCACCTCGACAATTTCATGAGAAATAGTGCTTATATTCTTCCGGCTTCATTACGACCAACTCTGGTGCAGAGGTGAGCGCGGGTCTCCCAAGTTTGATGGTCACATGGTCACTAGATATCCTCAAGAACGATTAATCATGGTATATTTGTTTTGCCTTCTATTTGACATGTACTGAGTCCTTTGCAGAAAGTGTTATTGGCCGTATTATATATCCTGAACTCCGAGACCGTATCATCCTTCTTCGAGGTAGTTGCATAGCCATTTTCGAGCTTGGTGATATTCTGATATTTTCCAGGGCAATTTTCGTTAGCGGATTGTTTTTTTGATTACTCGAAGGCGATCAAAGTCTATGAAGATGATGTTCTTTCTCACCATAACTGGGAACTTGCCGAGTGGTGGTTACGGAAATACAGGTGCGCCTTGCAAGCTGCCCATATTGTATGCTTATTCTTCTCTAGTTACCTCGTCGATAAGCCAACCTTGAATGTCTGTAATCGCTGGAGACGCGAGCGCGGTGAACCCGATTTGTTGCTATCTGATATTGGTACTCAAGGGATTCTCCCCCGTCCTAAGACTGATATGTGGTTTCAAGCTACAGCCTGGTAAACTTATTACTGTATATAGTTGTACGTTTGGAGACTTTGTGCGGTAATATATATATACTGCGAACTACATATGTCTAGACAGATGGATATATGCAAAAGAAGTCACACGTAGGAACAACTATCTCCCTTCGTCTATAAAGGTCTAGCTAGGGAGACTAGGTATATACTGCACCGAGCATCATGAGCACTCCATACATTGCTGATTAAACAAGGGTAAGCTCACCAGACCATGAAGTCTTATGTACGCGCAACTTCCATCTTCCAAGAAGCTTTGCGCACGCCAGGGAATTTCAGCTTGAGGATAATTTCCCGACCACATCCAGATTCTGCGCAGCGGTTCTTTACCGTCGTCGGACAGTGTGTACTTCCCAAATGTGTTCAGCCGTAGCTGGGCTTGGTATTGCACTTGCGGGGACAGAGTCTCATCCCGCGCGACATACAGGTAGGCCCTGCGGAAGACCTCATTAACCTTTGCGATGTTGCAGGTCTTGATGTCTCGGAGTACGCAAGCGTTGGGCATGATGACTAGCAGAGTTTTGACCGGAAGGTAGTTAATTGGACGCTTAGGAGGGTTATCCCAGGGTACAATGGGAAGGCTCCTTCGCCTTCACTACACAGCATGTTGGACAACCAAAGGGGTTCGAAGTGCAGGTGGCCGCCGTTAATTCTAAGGGTCAACTGCATGTCATCGAACAGTTTCTATGGTCTAGCACTAATTCCTTCTGCAGCCACGCGGAAACATGGCCTGATAGAATTTTCACAAGGAGTGAAGGATCCCTCAGAATTAAATCTGTGGCTTCAGAAATACCACCAATCTACTGTGATGGTCCAGTTCAAGCCCCAAGCACGGAACTCTGAACAGGAAATGAATGTCATGGTTTACGTGTTGATAATGACCATGATGGAACCACGAACCGCGAGTGTTCCGTCCATTCTCGCTTCCTGTCACTTTCACTGGCATTCTTTGATATTCAGTTTGGCATAGCGGCGTGGCAGGAATTCCTTCTTGGCTCATGTCACACAATATGATCGTGTTCCTGTGCTAGTAGGCGCAGTGTTCCTTGTTACTGGACTTCCAGATCTGCCAGGCTCTAGTAAAGTCGATGCCCCAAAACCGCAACTGCAACCGCAACCCCCAGGCGTATTCACCCTTGAGATGCTGACGCGGATTCAGGGCCTTGACTCACGGCAGTAAAAACACTTCATGCAACAACTCGCACTGCAACAGCAGATCTGGCAGCAGCAACGACAAATGCAGCAGCACCAACAACTACAGACGGGGGCAATGCAGCAGGATGTGCAAGCACCAGCACCTGGTGTTGGAATGCAGAACATGAGTCCGGTTTCGAATGGAGTGAATCTGTCAATGAATATGTTTGTGAGTTGTTCTTATGGGACGCGTGCGTGAGGACATGTTAATAATTCGGCATGACCGGGGCGGTGGCGGGATTCCGCGAAGGAATATCAGTGGAGGTACGCATCTTGGCGGCGTGGGGACGGCGAATGGTGAGATGATGCAGTCGTTTATACAACGGAATGCGAACGGACAAGGGATGAACCCTTCGTAATTGATCGAGACCGTCCCACCTTTATTGGCCTTGAAGCCTAGTTCCTCAAGGCGTTGTTTGTACCTTGAGAACAGAATGAATGGATATGCTATGGATGTAGGTGACGTCAAGAATGATTTTAGAATTGTTATGCTCTACTACACATCATACCTACTTGCATCCTATCTTGTACACACACTGTAAGAACTTCACTGTTTTATCGCATTGAGGTTACCGTCTGTTCACTGAATCCTTTCATGGTCGGCAAGATTAACCTGAGTTTTATAGACAGTGATGGCTGGGTCGCTCTCGCGCTGAGGGAATAAACGAGTCTTGAGAATCGAAAACAGTGATCCAGGAACTGTCATATCTCAATCCAATGACCAAGGAAACCGACATAATAAATCCTTGTCGTGTCCGTACCCTGCAAGGCGGAGAAGAACAACGTCAGGAAGGAAACGTTGTTGAACTTTGCCGTCTTGAAGGGTTGATGTCAACACAACTTTCGCGGACAGAATAAATGTGCTTGACAGCGTACTCTGCAACATTCATGCCCTGAGGGATGTCGAATTCTTGAACAGACGCCTTGTCGGAAACGTCATTGACATCCACGCTAGGCTGACTGGAAATACGACCCTCAGATCTGCAGACTTCATGTGGCTCGAGATCCAATGCGATTGATCATAGTTCAGCAAGACATTACTGCGGCAGCCACAACATATTCGCTCAATGAACATGAAAAAAAACTGGAGTTGGCGCGGACGCGTAATACGTACTGGTAAGTTGTTAGGAGAACACAGTATGCAACATCCAACCGTAAGGTAGCGTGCAGCACGAATCAGAACTGGACTACGTGTACAACAGTAGAACGAAAGCGGTTGGAGCGAAAGCGGTGACGAAAGAGTGGACGGCATATGAGCCGGGGCTTGGTAATGATAGATGAAAAAGTCAGCAGTTGAAAGCAGCTGTGGGGGCCGCGGATGTTGAATGACTGCCACAGAACCCTTCAGCATTGAGCGAACGCAACAAACAAAAGCAGTGGACTTACATTGTTGCACAAGCAACGCCATGACGATAGTCGACATCAAACGATGACGCAAAATCCACCCGCTACCATTGGGGAACGCTCATGGTCGACGGGTAGTCCGTCATAATCCTCTGAATGATCGTCATGCTCCGGGGTTGTCATTGATGGATAAAATTGCTCGACGATGGATAGAAAGGTGTCCATAGCATAAATAAAAGTAGGAGGGTTGTGTGAAGAGTGTGGTTAGGAGTCAACGAGTTCAAGGGCTTGGGGTATATATTAGCTCACGAGTAAATTGGACTAAATCGTTATAGCAGTTCCGACTTTTAAAGATCTTAACAACAATGGTATGCACAATGGAGTTGTGTGTCGCCATTGTTCAATCAACATAGCTGATTTCGATTAACGATCACTGCCATTTCATTATGTAAGTTTGCGAGCATTGTTCTTCTGACAGTAGCTGATAGCGGAGCTCCAAGTCAAGAACCGTGCCGACTCCTGCCGAAGGAACCTCTTCTCGCATCAAATCATGATCGTGATGCATGGATGTGTTATGCTATAACTGTAGCGCCCCCATATATACGGTGGCAGTCTACAGAGCCCGCTGCCTGAATATGCATGATACACCTCTGCGCAGTCTGACGTTGTCCGTTCTATGGATAAATTGTTCGTGCGCCAACATAGCATCCAAAATTAAAAGCATCATGTCAATGTGCCCGGCATGCACTACTAGTGTCGGAGGATCGTCACGCTGTGGGTCGCCCGATTGTGCTTGACACACGGTGAGCGCGTCGGCTCGTTCTCGTTCCTCGGCTAGCTGGTATGCTTACTACGATAAGAACTAGTAAGTTCAGCTGTCGATGCGGTCAACAATTACACAAAGCTGACATCATGTAATCTGGTATAATTCAGAAGAAGTTGTTAATCATAGCATCAGCGGGTTGGGTTGTGCTACAGAGCACTCTGTAGTGAATTACGTTTCCATCACCCGGAAATAGCGTTGATACCTGCAGCGAACTGTTGATATTTATTTTGTCAATGTCGTTGCAAGTCCGTTATTGTGTAAATCTGCTAATGTGCACAGGACGGTTTTTGCCTTGATTAGGCGAAGTTCCAAGTCCTGCGCGAGTGGGCTGGGGCTGTCGTCATCCATAAGGCTATCCACTCTGGCAGATACGGCAGATGAAGCTGAGTGGTCGCACGTTATACCAAATGACCAATACACCATCAATCCAGACCCGACTCTCAGGCGTCAAAACTGGGTGGCGCCAACGGACAGGAAGGATCGAAAGGGGCACTAACAACGTGGTGATCAAAGAACGAGAACACCATGGTATGGTGACCGAGAACAGTACTTACTGGTATTGGATGAGTCAGATGAAAGTTAGGAACAGAGAAGCGTGCAACACTGCGCCACTTCGGGAGGACAATTTATGCAAAAATGACCGACAAAGGGACAACCAGAGGAGTGCGAAGCACTACTTAGATGCCATCATACGAAAGGCCAAGCGGAGGCCACTACTTGAGGCCTGGAGTAGCGGGAATTCAAACCCAGTCTCAAGCCAGACATTCCGGGAAGCAGATTGAGAACAATACCGCTAGCCACTATGTGGCTCGATGCGGACTGGACGAACCTCCAAAGGGATCCTAGGACGTCTGGTTCGAGACTAGATAAAGACGAAACTTGAAAGTTTCACTGGCCACTATCTTTCCAGACGAAGAAATAGATGAAGTAGGGACTTCGTAACAGACGAGAGAGGCGGAGAGTAAGGCTATTGTTTGAAGTTTGAACCGTGAACCGATCAGAATGCAGAAATGGCAAAAATGAGTGGTTTGATGGACAAACAAAACAAAAGATGACAGTCCTAACGCAGTGGGATCATCCTTGGCAAGTGGTGGTAGACGCAGGTTCACAATGCGGAACCATTGAAGACTCTGTTGCAGTAATTTTTTATTGCATTAAGCGGCAGAACTTCCCCGACGATACGTGTGAGAATCTCGCTGTGGCTGAAGACATTGTCACGTGGCAGTATAATGAACGATTTTCATCGCCATCAGGATGGCCTAATTCAGGCAACAAAGCGCGAGGGTAAATATTGGACGAGTGATATACGTACCCTGGGGAAACATCAAATAACGGTCGACTTCTGCAGAAATGACTACGAGATAACCACGCTGTCCTAGAATCTTGTCACCATCTAATAGCTTTGATTCCCATCTTTTTAGATTTTATAGGTGATATTTGGATAGATATGGTGCGAAAAACAATAATATTTTGATCCTTTGCATATATGTACTTGATATGTACTACATCAAGATATTTGACGGGAGCCCCGATCCGCTTGGGGATTATCATGTATGTACACTACGTCAGGTCGAAAGTAAAATAAGATTGTGAGATGTTATGATTCATACAAATGAAAGATCGAATGTTCCTCGAGTCCGAAGTATATATGAATGACAATAGCAAATGAAGGTGGATTACTCATAGCATGAGCGGTTTCAACAGAAACTGTCTCCAACCTCACACGACATTCCATGAGACCAACGTCGTCATAGCGGACATGAGAAGACGCTTCCGAATTGCTTCCGAAGATATTGTTTTTCAAACCAAGGCGGCTTTCTTTTCGTCCAGTGGATGTTCCCAAGATAATGCCAACGAACTATTTCGTTTGCGTTCTTTGACAACATAAACGGGCAATGAGCCCGCCGATGGAAGCACCGCAGGCACACGAGGAGCGCGATTAAACCTGTAGGACTCTTATCAGCAAAGCTTTTTTTTTGCTTACGATAAGATACTTACTCATTTGAGTTCATCCGCTGTTGCGGCTTCGCCGGATGGAATCCGAATATCCTTGCTACCCACCAGAAAGCTATGACGTAGTTCTTCCGGGCTTCTGCGGCAAAACCAAAGAAGGCGAAAAATACGAAGGCACAGATGACTACGAACCACCGCGTGAGCTGGACAGCAACAACAACGAGGTAGTTCGCCGTCCACAGAACGGACGGATATTGCACAACACGCGAAAAGTCATAGTGAACATATTCCCAGCTGATCCAGGGTTGTACAGGCTGTGCTGCCGAGTTGAGCCATATCATAAAAGATGCGAGGGGGATGGTGCACAATATTTCTGCCACTGCGAGTGCCATGAGACGGAAGTAGCGGCTAGCGCTGAGAGACTTGTTGGATGCCATAAACTGGGTGAATTGTGCACGACGAAGGTAAAAAGCCTTCAGTGAAAGGCCTGCGGGCGATAAGAATGTGGACAGCAAACCACCATGAAGGGACGTACCACAATAGACCGAGGAGACAAGGCCGATAATTATAGGCCAACTATCAGATAAGAAAAACGCTGGTAGCGTATTGTAAATAAAAGGGTAGCAGCCGACATCTTCGTAAATATCGAAGCGATGGCCTTGTACAACATATTCTGTAAAAGGATCAATGGGATGCGTGTTGTAGATGGAATCAGTACACTCACGGAGCGCAACGACTACCATAGGAAAAAGCACGCAGATCATGGTGTCAATAAAGATGACTCGTCGTTTCTAAAACAAGATAAATGAAGGAACCGAGGCTCTGTCAATGTCGACCCGTACCTCTGCATTCGTGAGTGCGACTGCATGGACTTTTGCAATGTTGTATAGTCTGCGATTGATGCATAATGATGCGGCAGGAATGCCCACTGAGGCGCCAAGCATTATCCGAATAGCTCAACAAAGTCTTAGGAAACAAGTAGCGGAAACATAGCAAAACGTCGCTTACAAATGTCACACCAAATGGGAGCCCAATTGATAGCATTGTTATGCCAGACGATGGAGTTGATGAACTGATTGAGGCAAGAAAGTGCCGTCCAAATCATATAATAGCATGTTCCTGAGTTCCATGCTTGTAGATGCCAGGGAAGAGGTACAAGTACGACTACAAAGCCGAGGAAAGCGAAGATGGGGTAAAGTGGATAGTCCAGCCCAGTCATAATGGTGTTGAGAAAGAGTAGAGCTGAATAGTGTCAAAGGACGGACACCGAGAATGATAGGCTTATAGGAAAACATTTTGGGTTGAACAAAGGGATGTAGCAAACAATGGATTATGCAAGTCCTGCATTGTGGCTACGTGTCGGAGATAAATTTACAAATGCGAGTTCCAAATTTGGATGATTCGCCGGAGACAATAGCACGAAATACACCTCTGTAATTATCGAACAATGGTAAAGACGAGTCGCTATATAACATGGCCGTGGCGTGGAGCTCCCTTTGTACTAATATTCAGTCCACAAACCTCGAGGTCTACTACGCTAAAGCGGTGCCATATGGACGCCTTCATCACTCTGCTCGATTTGAAGCCATCGCTCTTTGTTAGGTCACCATCACATACTACATCACAGCCCAATTGGGGTGATCTAGCACAACTTGAAATGCAATGCATGGAACCTTCCAACTCGCTGCCGGTTGACCAAGACAACCTCTCCAGTTACTTTGCCAGCTTCTGTGTCATTTTATAAGATTTGCCCCCCGTCACTCTCAGGGGGGCCGGCGCGAGGTGTGTCTGTACGACGCCTCTTTCGGTAGATGTCTCCTTAACCAGTTCTTGTTATGAACAGGGTACTATGCCTCATGCGCTGGTTCAGCATCAAATTATTCGGACTAGAGGCTAGCCCTCGCATTATTTATTTCAGTGGTCCTAGCAGGACCTCCGCGCTGCCGCACGTTTAAGTGCGACATATTTATATCCAGCACAGTGCCTAATTCTGTGGCTATACCCCTCCTTCGACCTTTGTTGTCTTCGTTTGCTTTATCTATAGCACAGTGCTTAATTCTGTGGCTATACCCCTCCTTCGATCCTTGTTGTCTTCGTTCGCTTTATTTTCGTGGTTACCTTTGACGCACGTTTAACTGCGACATATTTATCCATAGCAGTGCTTAATTCGGTGGTCATACCGCTTGGTAGAGCTGCTTGTGCAACGTTACATATCTCTGTTCGTGTACCCAACTACTTTCCTGCTAGTACTTATTTATTCGTCTTCCATGAATCCTTACTTATCTGCTGATTGTGGTTCTAGCTATTGTTCTTACTTACGTTGTGGCCATTGCTGTCTTTTGACTCATGTTCTGCTGTGGTTATATCAGTTCTTACTTACGTCGTAGCTATCGCTCTCGCTTTCGCATTGTTGTCATTTGTTCCGCCCTGCAGGGCCTCGTCGTTATTATTAAGTCAATGCATTTTCACCAATTCTCAGTAAATTCGAGCTGGAGTGTTCGAAACAATGGGATGTTCACAACCGTTCAAAGCAAGCCACAACTTAGTAGTGGTACACAAAATTGATTGTCATAAATGCGTTGACGTTATTGCATACTTGAGGATATCATATAATTGGTATATTGAATGTATATACGCGAAACGCAACATGTCTGGACAAATACCAGTGGATGCACATGACTAGACTCGTGACTAGTCCTTGCTGTGCGGCCGGTTTCAACTCGCCTCATAGCAAAGACTAGTCACGAGTCTAGTACATGACATAAAGGATGGGAGGTAGATTAGTATCTCACCCCACAGCCATTTGACCGACGGTGTCGCGTACTACGTAGATGTAAAGTGACCGTGATAATAAAGGAGTGGAAACGCGTACGTAATGACTCTAATCGTGTGCATGTATGTTAACGTACGTGCGAGACGAATAAATAGTGCTAGGACTTGTGGAAAATCGAAAAAAGATAGGAGGGAATTCTGGAAGATGAGTTCAGAAAAAGTAATCTACAGAAGATCCTAATTTGGGTCCTAGTGGTCATAAAGCAGAAAGAACAAATAGAACGTGACACCAGTGTCTGTGGACGAAGGGCAAACAAAGCAAACAAAGCAAAGCACTGAAAAAGCAAATAAATAGATCCCATTCGTCTCTTGCAGACGAAGCATGACTTTAAATCATAAGCTGCGCATCGATTCCATCAGCCTCATTCCGAAAGGAGCGAAAAGGAAGACGAACGTACATCACGGATCGTTTTCGAAACAGTAACAGGCGCCGCTACCCGCGGCACACGCATTATGCAATGCTACAAAAGTAGCCAGCACCGCCATCATAGTAGGAGTGTTCAAACTCCAAAGGAACCGATTCAGCGGGATGGGAAGTGAGAGCAGATGTTTCGAAGGGCATGGTAGATTCAGGAAAGGAAAAGGACTCGAGATCGTCGAATGAGTCCATCATCGAGTTCGACGGTGGACCTGATGGCAATATTTATTGTGAGCGCAGAAATGGGTAGCGCGAGAGGGCTTCCAAGTGTTAGTTGGGACGGGGCCGATGATGATATTAATTATGTCGGTGAGCGCAGGAGTGGTGGCGCTAAGTGGCGCGATAGGGGTTGCAAACGTTGTTTGGCTCGACGAGTATAGGTGCTCGCACAATATGATACTCTCACAAAGGGCGAAAAATTGGCAGTCATGGCGATCCTTTGTCTCCCTTTATACCATGCTGGGAACAATGATGTTTCTCTGCATTGACCGTCATCGATTGTTGATTGGTAAGAGAATTACCATATTCGGTCATAATCTGCAATCCATTGAACTCTTCCTTCCTTGTTATGTTCCTAGTGCCCCATTTGGTTATTGTACCTTTCACTCACAATGCACTGCGAGATCCCGCCGGTTGCGTTCCTCGCAGCTATGTCACTGCTGCTGCTCTCTCTGCAATGGCATTGACAAGCACGAACTATTGCAACTCTCTTTGTCATGGCCTGGCTTTTCAAGTTGTCCTCAATGTTGTCCGCGATTTCGATGCCACTGTGGGGTAACATTAATCTGAACATTGCCAGACTGGTGTGGTGCGATATCAGTGAGTTCACTAGGACTCTTGAAGTGACCTTGCGGCTGATGCCCTTCGAGGTAGCAACATAATCGTAAGGTCTGCATTGGCCCTCCCGGCTGCCTGCTTGTTGCATTGGCATTCACCTCGAGTGTGTCGATTCGGTTCGATAGGCATGCGCGACCAACGCAACCACCAGCTTTTCGAGCTATCAAGGCACCTTGGAATATGGTTTTCATGAGACTTGGTATGAACATTTCTATGAAATGTATTATCGTGCTGGCCATATTTTCCATTCGCGTCCCTCTGGACTGTGGGTACAGTCCTATTTGTTCACACTGGAGTTACATCGTCGCTCATAGGCACCTCTCGACCTATGGGTCCTCTTGGAAATCTCCTGAATTTCTATGCCGTATCAATCATTGACCACATTCATTTTCTTGAAAAGAATGGCAGTTTGAAATGTGTCACCTATGAGCAACAATATAACGATACATGGGACTGCACAAAAGCAGTTGGACGGACCACACTGCTCCCATTAAATACAATGAGAGAGGAGCAACCTCGGAATATTCATGTTCGGGGGGTGGTGGGCAGACGATTGAATTAAATCGAGAAACTATTAAACAGAATATGTCCATTATGTGGTTAGTCGGTAGGAGAAGCAGTACTTTGCTCAATTGCATCGCATCTTCCTTTTGTCGATGGATAATATCTATTCGTCTGTTGTGTACAATGTTTGAGACGTCTCGGGTCTCATTGCATTCGGAGGAATTCAGCGCTCAGCCTCAAATTTAGCCGAGCGGAGTTTCAAAATATTGGCACCATTGACCCAACCTAGTCGATATGTCATACATATTGTATGGGCCACGTGCTTGGCCCTTGGGGTACTAAAAGCTGTCCGAACTTTTGGGTGTCTTTCTATTCTGTGTTTGAAGCTTACACAAGAGATTATCGACGAAAGTTCAGTCATTCGTCTCAGCATAATCGCTTTGGTTGACCTTTCAAGCCAACAATGGTGTATCGATCCATTGTTCCCAATGTCCGTCCACCGGAGTAAACCACAACTGATCCTCTATTTAAACTGGTCCTATTTTCTCTATACCTTCAATCGACACTCCATACCATATCCTCGTACCTGCAACACATTATCGTTATACCCAACTTTGTACGCTCCTTGACTCGGAGCGTTTTTGCAACACCTATCCCTCAATTGCGACACTTATCCATCCATTGTGATACTCAGTCCCCCAAACTCGCACTCATCACCCTCCATCTAGCACTTTGCACCCTTCAACTCGCGCTCACTACAAATCTAATCCTGCTAGGATGGATTCACTTGACACGATTCTGGATATATCTGAGCTCTTCGACCCTGATTCACTGCTATTCCCAGATGAGGGTTATGGCAGTGGTGATGAGTCTAGTCAATCCAGCGATGACGAACAATGCTACACATTAGTTGACACAGACACAAAATTTAGTTATGCAGGTTATTGCGTAATAACATAACGCGATGCCACCTTCGCGAAGTATGCATCCATCGTATAAGTAAGTCGACGATCATTATTGTCTGATCACTGATTCACCTTCTCTCCATAGACATTATCTAGCTTACGATGCTGAAGCATGTCAAGCTAAGGCTGGCCATACAGGCCAGCCAGCTTGACCTTCGCGCGGTGCGGGTGAAATTCCCGTACACCGAACGGACCGACTGGGGCTGACTACGTCAGTTGCTTGAAGTCCTCTGAAGCCATCACAATTCACAAAAAAGATCAAAAAAATTGTGTCAATTTTTTTTTCATCTGGTGGACTTCTTGTTCCACAAACCTTCGAGCCTGTGATACTTTCGGTTTCATTTTGGCCACAGTTGTCTTTTCCCACTTGTGGGTTTTTTTGGTCTCGCACTATACCGTACTACGGTGTATATCGAAGATGCAGCAATGTATTTCCTTGTGGGTGTAGGATCAGCATTCACCATGCCAGTATACTCCCGTGTGGAACGAGCAAGGATCGCAGTCCTTACAATCGGCACTCCCAGGGGTTGGCAGTTGCGCGTTTTTCTCAGGACAAAACGTGATGTCGGACGGTGACTCATTGCTACGAAGTTCTCACGTTTTCCTCCTAGAAATGTGTGACCTGCCGACTTGTGGGAGTGTCTTTTGAAAGTCTATGGGTAACGACAAAGGGGTGGTACGAGGAGGTCCATTAGTAATGGATAATAGAGGCTCTGTTTCCACTAAATATCTCTAGGCTCGCACGCAAGCTCCGG